CCCCTTGTCCCTCCATCCCTTGTACAGAATCTCTCTCCATCTTTCTTGTCAGCCCCTTCAGGCCCTGGAAGGCCACAATTTGGTCACCCCAAAGCTTCTCCTCTCCAGGCTGAACAATCCCAGCTGTCCCAGCCTTTCCTCCCAGCAGAGCTGCTCCATCCCTCTGCTCATCCTGGTGCCTCCCCTGGCCTCTCTCCAGCAGCTCCAGGTCCCTCCTGTGCTGGGCCCCAGGGCTGGGGCAGCTCTGCAGGTGGGGTCTCACCTGAGCACAGGGACAGAGGGTTTAATTCAACACAGGAACAGAGCCTGTTCCATCCATCTGAGGACTGAGGCTGGGGGAAAACAACTGATTAATAACCCAGCTTCCCAAAAGGCACAAACTCAGGGGTGCTGCCCTCAGTCTGTGGCTCCTGGAGTGCAGACCAAGAGGTACCTTAAATCTCTCAGCGTGGTTTGAATACTGCTCTGCTGATTGCAAAGAAAACAGAGAGCAAAACAAGATTAGAGCTCAGCGAGACAGCATGCCCCTCGTGAATCCAAATAAACAAGACATTTTGAACTATTTCCAGCATGACTCCAGCACAAAATAACATTTGCACATCAGTGTAATAGCTGATGTTTTAACTGCTTGCTAAAGGAGCAGTCACGCACTGCAGCCCTGAGTTCAGCGGCGGCAGGCAGCCTTCAAAGGAAGCAAATAAGAGCTGCAAAAGTGCAGTGCTGCACTTGAAAGCCTTTCAGAGAAACACTAAATATATTTATGTTCACTCTTGAACCCAAGGAGAACACGGCCTGCCCCGTCCCTACATGCCTTGGGTGGCTGACGAGACACTTGAAAGGAGCTGGGGTGGCAGCAGCCATCAAATCCCAGCTGAAACCTCGTGAGTTGGAGAGTCAGGGAGAAAAAGGAGCCAAAACCAAGGGGCACAAGTCCAGAGGATGCAACACAGGAGGGAAAACCTATTTTCTCTTTGAACCTGTGCAAGGACTGGTGACACACCCTCACAGGAAATCCTATTACTGGGGGCCCTAAGCCATAAATCAATCCTGGAGTCATTCAGAGCCAGCCTCTGGACAAAGGACCAGTCAGATGCTAATTCAGGCCTCAAAGCTGGAGAGGGAACGTTCCCTCTTTGGATTAAGGATTAATCATCAGCAGGTACAGCCTATTTTCATTAACTGCAGCCATTTCCTGCTAGCACATCCTTTCCATTTTCCAGGAAACACGGGAGCAGCTACATGTCTGAAGGCAAATAAATTAGGAGACAAGAAGGAAATTATCCACAGCACCCAGAACAAGCCAAGCCATTGAATAAGCAGCTATAAAATCTACCAAAATCCAATTTGATTGATCCAACAAATTGAATACAGAGTATTTAAAATCTCTGTTCCAAAATTCCATTAAACCTTTAGCGTTGCTAAGTGCCAAAGATGTCATTGCCCAGAGAAGCTGCGGATGCCTCGTTCCTGGAAGTGTCCAAGGCCAGATTGGATGGGGCCTGGAGCAACCTGGAATGGTGGAAGGTGTCCCTGCCCATGGCAGGGGGTGGGATGAGATGGGCTTTAAGGTCCCTCCCAACACAAAACATTCATGATTCTACTTTCCTTGGAGTTTTCCCTCTTTTCTTAGTGCACTATCACTCCATTACCATGGGAGGAGGCGGCAGTGCATCAGACTGGCTTCAGGCACTCCTGGGGGATTGCATGGATGCACCACTGGAACACAACCTGTGGGCTCAGTGCTTGTACCAAAACCACCCAGCACATCCTGCAGCATCCTCTTAACACCCCCACTTCTCTGGGATAGTTTTGATCAAAGCACCTGGAAAAGGTTGGGAGGAATCATCAAACCATTTAGGTTGGAAAAGACCTCCAAGACCACCGACCTCCAACCTCCTCAGTCAGCAGCAGCTCCAAGCTCAGGCTTGCAGCAAAACAAACCAAAGGTGTCACTTAAAAAGCCAATGTCAGAAACAAAGTGTGGCCTACAGAGAACACAGAAAAACTCTACATGATTCATAAATTCCCCCCAAGGTGCTTTTACATGCACAAGACAACACCCAGAAAACAGTCACCACTTCTAACAAAGTTGATTTGAAATTCACAGGGAGGTAGTTTTTGTGGTTGACAGATCTTTGAGTTTGTGGGATTATTTTTTTTTTTGGTGGTGATGTTTTGTTCATTTTCTATTTAAACATCTGCTCTAGCCAACTGTTGCCCACTTAACTGGGAGATCTCACTGCTGAGTGTTCTGCACTGGAATTCACTGTTAACCATTCCAAGCCCTTGCTGTATTCACATACAATTCTATTCCTCAGCAAACAACTTAAGCAGGAATATTTTCAAAAGACTGCACATATGCTCTCTTCCCATGGAGCTAAATTTGGTAGATATGAGCATACCTGGCTATAACAAGCTGAAACAAAAATCACTGACATACAGAAAACGAGTTCCAGGCATAAACCCCTGCTTTCCACTGCTTTAAATAGTCCCTGTTACACTGTTATTACACAGCAATCAGTGTTTCCTTTGCTCTCTGAGCCCAGGGTTTCTCCTTCATAGCCACTGAAATTCAAGTTTAAAGCAGAATTCAGCAAGCATCTCTGTCAAGCACATTCTGTGCCAAGCTGGAGGATGAGTATATTTATATAACAAAAGGCTTCCTGGATTATTTTAAGGCTCAAGTTCTGCAAAGGGAACAATTGACGAAAGGGATGTTTTTCCTTTGTTTAAAAAAATAATACTTGTACAAAGAAGAAAAAAAAAGCCATTGAAGAGACAGCAGTGCCTTGATATTCCACTGTGAGATCCCTGGATCACAGCAGAGTCATCCACATGCTCTCTGACCCCACGAGTACAGAACGTGTGTTGTCACAGCTTGAGATAAGTACAGAAAAAAACAGAGGTCACAGACACCAAGGCACCTGCAAGTGAATATCTGCACATAAACGACAAGCTGTGCCACAGAATCACAGAATTGTATCAGGTTGGAAAATCCCTCCCAGCCCATGGAGTCCAAGCTGTGCCTCATCCCCACCTTGTCCCCAGCCCAGAGCACTGAGTGCCACGTCCAGCCCTTCCCTGGACACCTCCAGGCATGGGGACTCCAAAGCTCCCTGGGCAGCCCCTGCCAAGGCCTAAGCTCCCTTGCCATGGAGAAATTCCTCCTGGTGTCCAAGCTGAGCCTCCCCTGGCACAGCTTGAGGCCGTTTCCCCTTGGCCTGTCCCTGTTCCCTGGCAGCAGAGCCCGACCCCCCCTGGCTGTCCCCTCCTGTCAGGGAGTTGTGCAGAGCCAGAAGGTTCCCCTGAGCCTCCTTTGCTCCAGGCTGAGCCCCTTTCCCAGCTCCCTCAGCCGCTCCTGGGGCTCCAGCCCCTTCCCCAGCTCCGTTCCCTGCCCTGGACACGCTCCAGCCCCTCCATGTCCTTCCTGGACTGGGGGCCCAGGAGTGGACACAGCCCTGCAGGTCCCTCAGCAGGGCCAGCCCAGGGGATGGGCCCTGCCCTGGGCAAAGGGAACAACCCAACACCACAGACCCAACCACACCTGGTTTGAATCCTTTCCGTTCAGCACAGAGCAGAGCAGCCTCCCACGCTGCACCTGTTGATGTTCAACCCCGATTAAAGCTGCATTAAACTTTAAGTAATAGATTCCTGCATTATTCATCACGGCTGTGTATTGGATGCGGAGCAAACAGAAGCTGAATCAATACGGCGACAGGAGCTTCGGGTGTCTGCTCAAAGTGTCTCCTGCTCCCAATACTGATGCACTTGAAGAAGGGTGGGAAAAGTAGGAATTTTTCACAACTGCTGTAAACAAGCCTTGATATTACAGTTGGTCCAGAAGAGCTGTGACACAGAGGCACCTTCCAGAGAGCAACAACTGCAAAACCTGCTCATAATTCACCTGACCTGTGACACGCAAAGAAATAATTTCCCTCAATTTCAGCAGCCTTGGTGTTTAGTCACAGCATTTTTCTCAGGATTTTTGGTGGTATTTCCTACAGATTCTGTGGAAAGGCCACTGAACATCTTAATTATACAGCCTTTGAAATCCAGAGTGATGCAGTACTGGGACAGCCACAGGAGAGGGGCTAAACCCAAATTCTCCAAAGACAAACATGCTCAGGGCACCCACAGGGAGAATTCAGGATTAGGAAGAATCACAACTGAAAGCTGCTTTTCTGCTCTGTCTCCCACCACAGCCTCTCACAAGCAGCCCATTAAGGCTCACTGATATTCCACAACCTTCTCAGGAAAAAGGCAAAAGTTTTCCCAACGAGGAATGGGAGGCATGAGAGAACTTGGGTCACTCAAGGTGCTGGACACTGGGGCTGTACACAAACAAATAACAGCTTTTACAACACTCTGTCTCAGAATCTTTACACCCAAAACTCCACTTTTATTTTCTGATTCTCATTACACCTCCCCTCTAGCTCTTCAATCAGTCACGGAGCTTTCCAGCAGGGATCAAACCCAACAAAACCATGACAGATCATAAGAGATGCCTTGCAGCAAATCCTCACACAGCTTCAAAGGATTACTGAAAGACAAAAACATAACTACAAGCAGCAATAAAGGGCATACACCCCATTTATTCTTTCTTTTCAGGTCATTTATCTATGTCAAAGCCAGAGCTGGGAGCAGAACACAGGTATTCCAGCCCCCATTCTAGCTGTATACACAATATTATTGCTCCAGTTTCCACAGCCAAAAGGGCAAAGATTTCCTTACAAGCAGGGTTTGGGGAGCATTCATCCACAATCTACATCTTCAAGTTTCGCTCTTAGTCATCTTTCTCTGGAAGCAGGCAGAAGGAACTGATCTAAGGGATCTTTCAGCTGTCTTTCCTTAAGATTTTAGAATTTAATACTGGATTTAGACAGTTTGTCAAATATCCAAAATGTCCAAAACAAAAACTTGCCCCAATTGAGGTCACAGTAAACAAACCACTACAAAACACACGTGTTTGAAAATGCAAAATACAAGATGCACTGACCTACCTGAAATTGCTTTTCTAGCCAGAGCACTCGAAGCATCAGGTTAGAAGCTCATTTTGAACAGACAGTCAAAGCTCAGACCAGCTGCTGGCAGCTTCTCACGTAGTTATGAGAGTCACTGGAAACAAAACACCAAACAAATAAAAATAAGGACATTTAGAGAGGTGGAGCTCACAGCAAGCCTTCATTAAATCATCAGCAGTTGTTATAGTGTGACGATGACCTCAAGGTTTAACAAGAGTTGGGATATACAGGAGAGGCCATGCTAACAAAGAATCATGGAATGGTTTGGGTTGTAAGGGAGCTCAAAACTCATCCTATCCTACCCCTGCCATGGCAGGGACACCTTCCACTATCCCAGGTTGCTCCCAGCCCTGTCCAGCATGGCCTTGGACACTTCCAGGGATGGAGCAGCTGCATTTTAAAAATAGTATTTTGCACAAGACTCAGAAAGAAAGAATATCCTTGTGTCCAAAGAGACCTAGATGAGGTTTGGAGGAGATCCCCACCCCCAGAAGAACGTGTGTTTCCCACTGCCACAAATGGGCTGCTGACCACTCTGCCACACCCAGAGCATCTTTTCTTAACTACAAGAGCAATCCAAAAATCTCATGGGATACACACTGCCATGTGGAGCCCCAGCTAAAGAAATAAACCTCAAAGTTTCCTTTGAAGGGAGCTGCTGACCCTGACTCTGAACTCAGCATCACACAAGGTGTGATGAGGGGGAAGCAAGGAGGAAGGCAGGAAGCCTTTTCTGATAGTCTCCAAGATAACCAGGATCGTTTAGTAGAGGACAAAGCAAAAAGAAGCAAACCCAAAATATTTGTGGCCAAAATCCTCAGGTGGCAGCACCCAGGGACCAGGTTTCTCATCATCCCTGTGCCCACCTCTTGCACAGCCAGAGAGAGCCAGCAGCAGCAGCAGCAGCACACAAACCACTCATCCTGCCCTGGGAAGCAAACCCACTCCTCATCCCATCCCTCCAGCCTCCAAGGGAGACAAAACCAGGGTAGAGATCTGGAATAGAACCAGGAGCCCTGTGCTCCACAGGGCTCTTCCAATTCAGCTTTCACTCTCAGATAAAGGAAAAACAGAGGTCTCCCTGCTCCATTCACATTAGTTAGAAAACTGCAATTCTACATTTCCACTCAAGTACAAGATGGGGAGGAAGGGGGCATTAATAAATCCAATTCTGCTTGCTGAAGCAGCACCAAACCCAGGGAGCTGTCTGCCAGGAAACAAGCAGCTGGAAGCCTGGTAATTCTGCTTTCTTGGGACTCCTTTTTAGCTACATTTAGGATTGCTTGGAGATTTGCTTTTGAGTTTTTACACCTTCAGGAGTAAAGCACTCCTGTGGGGAGGGGGGACACCAGGCACCTCCACCTGCAGGCCAGAAGGTTCTTCTGTGCCACAGGCTGGAATTCAAACAGCTTTTGTCCATCTGGACAGAGCCATGGGAAAGCCTTGCCAGCCTCCTGCCCTGCTTGCTGAAGGATCATGAGAGGTGTCACCCATGCCAGGAAGGCCCTGTTTCCATGGGTAACTGAGCGTTATCTGGCAAGAACAGCCTTCCCAAACTTCACACTTGCTTATCTGCGGAGTTCCCTGAGCCCCCAAAAGCCTGACCTAGGAGGACGCCAGCCAGGGAGAGCTCCACCCCCTGCATGCCCCCTCTTCCATGCATTGATAGTTCCCATGGATCCCAGAGCACAAACTGGTGCTCAGACATAAACACACGTTTTTGATGAGCGAGTTGTGAATCAGCAGCATTTGCTGTGAGCACCAGGAGAATCCCGAGATGCTCTCCCAGCTGCAGCCTCTCTCTCTCCAATAAAGGGCACACAGAGCCTGCAAGGACACGTTTCCTGCCACATCCAGAACTATTTCTGGGCTGGTGAAAAGACAGGAGGAGCAATTCACAGCGACAGTTTGGGTACTAGCAGCTATGCTGCCAGCAGGACTGCATGGCAAGGTTTGATTAGAGCTCTTTCCTGTCTGTCCTGTGGCACACACAGCACTTCCTTGTGTTATCTGCTGAACTCCAACACTGGCAATACACTTTGCAGAAAACAGAATGTCTGTCTTCCCCAAATCAATGAGCCTGTATGCCAGACTCCTTCTTCCCCTGAGGGAGACCCTGCTGCTTGCAGAGCACTGGCTGCTGCTCTGCTGGGAGATGAGCTGCCAGACCAGGGCCCTGCTTCCCTAAACTCAGTATCCCTGTGGAAACCATGCAGCTCCTGGAGTTGCTAAGCCATGCCAAGCCAGGGCAGCACCAGAGCAGCCTGCTGCTATTTCAGCATCTAACATGACAAGGTTCAGTTCTGGCTGTGCCACCCCTTGCTCTGACAGCCACAGCGTTTCCTTCGTGCAGGAGCACCAGCTGAGAAGAAATTCGGGAGGTTTTGATGCTGCCAAGATTAATGAGTGATGTTACCGCCAGCCTTGTTCTCTGTGTCACAACGCGGCTCAGAACCACCAAGCAATAGGACACAAACACCTCCAGAGCTCTGCTGGCTTATTCCCAGAATATTCCCCATTTTCCAGCACCTGATCTAACACTGTCCCCAGCACAGCCTGCAGCAGGCTCAGAGTGGGAGCTCCACCTCTGACTGATTCATCTGGAGATGTTACAGCCAGTGGAGACTTAAAGGATTCCCAGAGAGAGCGCGTGATTCCTCTTATTAACATTCAGATGCTTTCCAGGTGAATGCCACTGTCCTTATAATCCACGTGGAATTACAAGCAAACCAGGATTTAGGAGAGTTAAGTGGCCACATCTGAGTGCTGAGGAACACTTTTGAAAACTTTACAGAGCTCCTTGTGCTGGTCATCAGCAAAGCTTCTGAGTTGAGGATTCTCCAGTGTTGTTTCCTTCCCACATCCACACAGCACTGTGGCAAAAGGAGCAAGAGCAGTATTTTGTCTTACTTTCTTATTCCATTTAACCAGCAAGGATCAGGAGTGTCTGTGAGGGCTGGATTAACCAGGTGAAGACTGCTGCTTGGAGAAGACACACCCATGACTGGAGCAGCATCTTCATTCACACCCTGGCACAGGCTATTTCCATATTTCACTGAGGCTTTTTTTCATCATTTCACCAGTACTGAAATACTCTTTAAAATACTCTGGAGAAATTCAGCCTAAATAGGTCACTCACACAAGTTCACCAACCCAGTTTGCTTTGTGGATTAAAGAAATCAAATTAATTGATTTAGAGACAACGTAAGGGATTTTGAGAGGACGTTTAGCTGATGTCTAAGATGTCATTTTAATCCTCCTCACTGTTAATTCTTCGAGCGTAGGGAGCCAGTAAAATTTGTGATGCAGCCCTTACACAGAAAAACATCTCCACAGGCGTGCTAATCACTGAACTATTTTGCAAATTGTTCCTAATCTACAGTTGCTTGTCTCTGCTCTCTTCCTGCAGAGACAATAAAATCATCCAGTTAATAGCAATGTGAAAGGGAAGGAATGATCCTCATTTGGATTAAATAGACAGATCTGCACTAGGGAACCACTAAACAGTGCAGTGATGAACTCAGGGAGGCAGCCCAGAGACATCCCTTCCATCTTTTTGGCATGGAAAGCTGGTAGGAGACCTGCCACCACAATCCAAACTCATTCCTAGTGTCACAAAAAGAGAAAAAATTGTTACCACAATCGACAGCAACATAATTATGTGAATAAGTAAGATTTGTTCATGGGATTACTTTTTTTTTTTTTAATTCTTGCAGAATCATGGTGACCTGAATACACCCAACCTCTGCAGCAGGAGACTGTTTCCCTGTTTCCAAAATAATCATTCCTGTTTCCAGACCTCCTCCCCCACCTTATTGTTGCTCATACTTCCTAAAAACACCTTTCAGGGCCCATTCCTCTCCACAAACCTGGCCCCAGGGTTGCTATGACTCTTCTTATCCCTTAGGGAGCCAAGTGCCCCAGAGACACGTGGAAATCTTGGCCCTACGTGGATGCCTGGACACTGAGAAAAGACTTGGTACACACTGATATTTTTAACTGGCCCCAAAGGGTGAGATGCTCAGAATTCCCCAGATTCACCCAAAAATACTTTGAAGAGAAAATCTAAGAAAGCAAATTATGACTAGGTCAGCAAACATTAATAACATGAAACACACTGCAACTACTCACGGTTGAGGCCTTGACAGGGTGTTCACAGCCAGACCCATCAAGATAAAAATACAGGGCCTGATCATTTAGACATGTTAGGGATAAGGAATTCAAGTGAATGACCAGAGTTATGGACTGCAATGACATCAGAGAAGTCTCCTGTTGTCCATCACCAACAGGAACCACTTCATATTGCTTATTACACTGCTTAATTTTACCAGTCAAACTCTGGTACCAATTCTGGTTTTGCAGGAGGATGGAATGAAAGCTGAGGACTCCATGACAGGCTTGGTCTACACCCTGCTAAAGACATGGAGACAGAAATGGTTCACTTAGATCTCCAGATAATGTCAGAATTCCCACTGTACTTAAATCCACGATTTCACAGCCAAAAGCCTCCCTGTCAAGTTATCCACTGATTCAGAAACAAGCCACAGCAGTTTAAATTTAGCTCTTCCCATTTTGCAAGTGCCTTGAAACAACAGGACCTCAGACATATCCCACCTTTTAACAGGTAATAGCTGAGACTCAGCCATTGCAAAGACAGAAATCACAATAATTGCTTCAGAAAAAAGGGCTTCGTGGCTCAGAGAGTTGAGAAATCATAAGATTTTTAAGCTTTAACATCAGAACAATTCCTATGAGGATGAGACTTCACTAAGTGGAACATGACTCCTGCAGAGCAGTGGTGTGATGGCCTGGGAAGGAGAGAGACCAGGATGGCTGCTGGTGCTTCCCTGCAGATCCCAAAGGGATCCCTGCAGATCCCAAAGGGTGGATGGGCAGGGAGACAGAGTCATTTACAGCCTGCAGAGACTACAGGAAATGAGCAGGGCACCAGCCCAGATCTGCTGGCTGTTCTTACAGCCCCAGCAGGGTTAAGAGCATTAGTCCAGACTCAGGGGGAACACGATCCTGAGCTGGTGACTGAATGTCTCCTTTGCTGGCCACCCTGCGTCACCACAGGCACGGAGCTTGCTCCAAGGACACGTGGAGCACAGCCAATTCCACAATTCCACAAGGATGCTGTGGTTCTCCTGGGCAGGGAGGCCAGAGGATACCTCTCAGTACAACTGAAAACAACCTGCTCCATGAAGCACCCCGAGAGCTCCACTGAAGGGGGAAAAAACAAACCTAAACACATTCTGCTCAAGTGGCAAATACCTCACCATGTGCCCAAGCAGTTTTCCCCAAGTCACTGCAGCAGTTAAAAGATCTTCTGAGTATAAAAAATGTGCTGCAGGCACTTAAATTTATAAAGGAGGCTTCTTTGAGCTCTTAAAATATCATTCCATCCATATGTGGGTCTCATCTGAAGTGAAGATTTGCATGGCAATTGTACTGATTTCCAGTATATATATCCAATATACCAGGCATGCAGCACATGGGCAGCTATCCCATTTTAACCTTTGCAATTCACCTTCCTGGCCAGAGAAACTCCATCAAAGAAAGGCTGAAAAACGGGAAAAGGGAAAATGTGGCCCCTATGGCACCTCTGGGAAGGAGACAGCACACCCAAGACCAGGGACAACTTTTTGCAGATTCCCTCTGGTGCTGGTAGCACCCAATGAAAAGTCAGGGTTTTGCCTCCACTATTACAACCTTCAAAGTCAGTCACCCCAAGCTTTAGGGGTTTTATTTCCTTCATAGCCCCATCCAACAGGAAAACCCCAAACAAGCAAAAACACAGAGAAGAAGCAAAAAAACCACTAGCCAACCTCTAACCCTCAAAGCTGCTCAGCTGTAGCAGTTAAATCAACGTTTTAAGAGCAGCTGAACTGCCCTGTACCATACAGGGCTCTGCTTGAGGCTTTGGCTACTTTCAGCTCCAGGAGCTTCGTAAACACGGATTTTGTAACCCCTTGGGAATCTCCCATCCCAATAGCTGCTCAGCTTCCCCCCACTCCCTGCAACTTGATCCCACTGGATCTTTGTATCCACAACACTCTCTGGCAAGGAGTCAGACAGGTCCCTACAGAGAGGAGTCTACGTGCCACTGCCCACTCCTTGGGATTCCAGTTCCTGCCCCATCCCACCCTTCCCAATCAGAGGGGGAGCAAAGAAATCCTTGTTTCTGGCTCCCAGGCCATGCAGCTATGTTTACACTGCTGCCTAACACGCTCTAGAGTCTGCTCTCTCACAGACACCAGGTTGGGAAAAACTCTTCCCCTCTGCAATAACATGTAGGACAGACTTTGGAACTTCTTTACTGTAAAATAGCAAACCAGAAATGTGCTTCTTCCTGGAAGCAAAGCAGACTTTATCTCAGTAGGTTCCTCCATGATTCTTAAGATGCCACACTACCATTTTCCAGCACATTTCTAGCTGCTCCTACTTACTTACCCAGCAATATCCAGTGGAAATTTGGGGGAGAAAAAAATGACTGCAGCCTGTTCCATAAATAAAAAATAATCTGGTTATGGATGCCAGCAATTTTTCATACAAAAAATGGTTTGGAATGTGATATGCCAATCAAAATTAGCATTTAGATATGACACGTTGCCCCACTCCATCCCACTCCTGGCCATCAACTCTGTTAGAGGTCCTTGTTCCCACTGCACTTTTCCTGATGGCTGCATTCCACTCCGGGGGTAAAGGTTGCCTGTAAGCACTTTAAACAGTATGTGAAATGCTTTGTTTATCCAAAAATATTTTAGCTCTGAGAAACATTAAAGCAAGATGTAGATTTCAGCATTTGCACAGCAAAGAACTGCAACTCCTACAGATACTGCCAGAAACTTTTTTCCTTAAAGCTTTCCAGCTTTGAAAGACTATTTTACTAAAGCAAAGCTGCAAACAAAAAGTGTAATCTCTTAGTAATGGGCAGCAAAGGGTTGTTACAGCAAGGTTGAGGATGAAGCAAGGCTGTCATTTCTGTCTAGCTCACTTTTTTCAGAGCACATAATTGATCAAGCAGTAGGAAAAACCTTACGGGGTCTTCCCAGTAAGCAGCTCCAGGAAACCACTATCAAAATCATTTCCCTGCAGCCTGGCCCACGATTTCCCTTGCAGGAGTGAAATCCAGCCAGCCTGCAGGTCACCTGCTGTCCTCTAGTCTTAAAATAGTCATACCCACCTTAAAATACAACTCTGCCCCAAGCACTCAGCAAGGCTGTTGTTTAACACAAGAGGAATCAACCACAGTGGTCACCAGAGGCAAAAGCACGACAGTCAAACAACAATCACAATTCAGCTCATCCCAGTTATCCTAGGGGAACAGGACTGGAAGACAGGAATATTAAGAATGTTATTGCCTAAAAGCAGCGAAGCAGCCGCTCATTTTCCAGCTCAAAGCTCTTCTCATTTAAAAGCTGCTGTAGACACGATCCTTGTTTCAGCAGAAGAAATAAAAATGTGCTGGACCCTGCTGCCAAGGCCAGGCTACTGAGCCTGGGGAATTCTTTTGGAGAGGGCAGGGGACAGTTATCTCCTACTCTACTGGTTCTGGAGCAGTTATCAATTAGTGCATTCCCTGTGCTGTCTCCTTATCAGTATCTACAGGCTCACCATCCCAGAGCTCCAGGTCCATGTTTTCCTTGGGATATGGTTTTGTGGTCCTGCCCCTGCCAGGGAATTCCCAACCACCAGCTGGTTCTGCACCAGTTCCTTACATCCACAAACTGCCTAATTAATCAATGAACTTATCTCTGTCTACCGCAAAAGTAGAATTAACCAAGTATAAACAGAAAGAAACCCCACACGGACCTTCACTTACTCCTACTGTCTTCCAAGGTGGAATTTGCCTGGTGTGATTTTAAACTAGGCTTTATTTCCCATTATTTTCTTACACCTGGGAGAAAAGCAGTTACACCAGGCATGCTAAGTGCCAAAATTACCTGGTTTGCCTAAATGCAACAACATCAACCCAACTGCAGCACTTCCTGAGGTACAGACTACAAAATCAGGAAGTCACACAAGATCCTCAAGGCTTAGTTTAAGGGAAATTTTAAAAGGAGGGGAAAGAACTGTCCTACACCTCTGAGAGCACTGGAGGGGCAGAAAGGCAGGCTTGTCATCAAAAGGCTCACACAGCACCGCCAGGTTTCACAAGGCCCCATCACCTTTAAAAAGGAGATCTCTCTCCCTCTTTGTCTAAAGACACTTTCCAGACCCGTGGGGAGAGGATGCCTAACTCTGAAACACACAAGTCATCATGCAAGAAGCACCAGAGCTGGGGCCAGTTGCCAGCTGAAACAGAGATTTCCATCCTTGCTGCCAAAGTACAAAGAGCAACAGGCAAAGCTGTGCCCTGTACCGATGAATTTAACGTCAACACTAAAGTAGACAAAGAGGTTGGAACACAAAAGTGACCTTCAGGCCCTGCTGACCCTCCATTTCTTCTCCAGACACCAGTGAAATGACACAACTGTCCCAGTTAGTCCAAGGAAGTCATCAATCTACCACAAGCAGAGCAAACCCCGCTGCAGTGCCCTTTGAGTGGTTTCAATTGGTGACAGAGCAGTTTATGGCCATCTCACCCGAGACCTTTCCAAGCCACTGCAGAGCATGGCAGCACAGCACATAAATGTGTTCCCCTCCCTTTCAGAGATTTACAAGGGTTATCCTCACCTCAGGAAAACTGTAACAACCTTTTTGCCTTCTCCAAATCCTGGTTGGTTTTTTTTTTTTTTGTTTGGGGTCTGGATTAACAGCAGGTGAGAGAGCAGAAGAGCATAAACTTAGTCCCAGTTGGGTGATGACAGCCTGTGCTGCTCAGCCCCAGCTGGAGTTCCCCGACCAGCAGAAAGTCTTTCAGCACAGGGCACACTCAGAGCAATAAAACCTGAAATCAGCAGTGCTGTCTCATTTCCCGCTCCTCTGCACAACACAATTTATTTTTAGGTCATAACCCCTGATGCGGGATGGAAAGAAAGGATGGACACAAGCACAACAGCTGCAAGAAAACTTGGGAGCACCAAGAATGAGACATTTCCACTTCATGTTTTATTAAAACAGCTACACCTTCACCTCACACTTAGTATTTCTGGAGCCAAGATATGTACTGGCACATCCATGTCACCTTCTCATGTGGCTTCCCAGCAGGCAAAAGCTGCTTACAGAGCCTGGCACCATCCTAAAACCTGTGCCAGGGGAGGGTCAGGTTGGACATCAGGGGGAATTTCTTCTTGGAAAGGGTGGGCAGGGGCTGTACAGGGAGGTCACTCCAGGCTGGTGACAAGGTCAGGAGCGGGCACAGCTTGGACCACCATGGTCTGGGAGGTGTTTTCCAACCTAAATGCATCTGTGAGCCTTGTGAACTACAGCAAATGGTACTCTTTTGTCTCTTGCTTCACAGGGAAAGAACAGGATTGAACAGACTGGGTCAGGTATGGGGGAGGAATATTGAGCAGGTGACTCCTGAGTGGTGGCTGAGCAAAGAAATCTCTGCTATGAGAACCCAAAAGTCAGTGAAATTCCTTTCCAAGTTACTCGAACCAAAGGCAATAACCAGATCCAGTACACCACAGGTGTGCATCAGAGCAAGAGTTCACAGCGAGACCTGGGCAGCAAGTCCTGCACAAGGCAGGAAAGCAAAGCTAAGGAAAAATCAGCAAACTGGCCATTACCAAGCACACTCTTCCTGAAGCAGCTCCTCTTGCTGGAGAGCCCATTTTCACCTCAGACAGCAAGCAAGGAAGGGATGCACACCTAGAAGAGCCTTCACCAGCCTGAAGCTCTGCTGCACTTCCTTCCTCCCCTCTCACAGCGAGGTTTTCTGGTTTCTTAAACGTTTCAAGCACGTCTCACAAAACTCTCGTAGCCACTTAAAGCCAGGGGTTAAGTGCAGCTGAAGTGAGGCAGCATTTCTCCTGTTACATTTAAACTGTCTTACGTGTTGTTTTTTCCCATTCTGATGTTCCCCATCAGAGGGAAGCAGGAGGGAGCTGGAAGGCAGCATGTGCAGGTACTGGCACAGAAACCAATCCACACTTGCCTTCTGGGAGCTGAATTCCAGGGTGGGTCTGCAGAGGTGACTCGGCTGGGGTGCAGCCTGCTCCCAAATTCCACAAACAGAGCCTGTTCCCTGGCTGTCCAGAGGCATCCATCTGCTCTCCAAGTGCTGGGAGCCTTTAATTCCCTCGTGGCTGTAAAACACTGCAGGTGAGCAGCAAAGCTCCTGCCAGAATATCATGCTCAGACCTCAAACTCCCAGTGAGGCTTTGCCCTCAGCTGCCCCACACATCAAATTCTGCAGGAACATTTTTCTCCTGACACTGACTTGAGTGTCCTGGGAAAAGAGATTCTTCTGGCCACTGCAAGGAAATAAATGAGCCACCTGCACACAAACACACTGAGGGCAAGGAATTCAAGCTGGGTTTGTGCTTGACTCATTTGCTGCATTTGAAGTTACAAGATGACACCTGTGACAATCAGGTATGTTTAATTAGTCTGGAAAGCAGCTATGAGAGTAGCAATTGCTCTGTGCTGACCATCCATACATCCCCAGTCTGATGCAAAAGACCCCTAAATCTCAGGAAGAGATTTTAAACAGGCTTAACACCAACATTAACAAGTGGCAGATGACTTGCTAGAGTTGAGAGGTCATCCCTGAGGGAAAACAGCACAATGTGTCCATAAATAAACTAACTCAACAAAACAAGTACAGCTGAGCCCTAAGGATGCAAAATAAATTCAATAAATTGAAACTCCCAGCTACAGAAGTTATGTCAGCTTTCAGAGGTTCCCATAACTTGCAGCAGAAATTTGTTTCACGTGCTGGAAGAGGGTAAAAAAACCCTCTGTCTTGGTCTCAAAGCCATCAACTTGGAGAAGGAATTTAACTTGGAAAAGATATTTTCTGGACAACACACCCCTGCTAGGCTACAGTAATTGCTTTTTAATCTTGCTTCTCCCAGGCATTGCTGCAACAATCCTCCTGTGCAGGTAAACTAATGGCAAGGATTGGTCATTTCCCAGGCTTTGATGGGTATACAGGTAGAAATTCCATATAAAAAAATACATCCTTTCAGAGTTAGCTTTGAAAAGTGCTCTGTTAGCTCAGGCTCTGCCTTCTTCATGGAAAAAGCCCTTTGGGACAGGCAAACCTGGCCATGCACGCTCAGCATGAGATCTGGCACCTGGCAAAGTCCTATTGGCTATTCTGCAGCAGGTGCTTGGCTGGAATTCCACCGTTTTCCTGGAATTCCACCGATTTCCCCCATGGAAGCAATAGCTCAATCCTGACAATTGCAATTAGGGAACACACACCTTCACTTTGAACAGAATCAGATTGTGATTTAACTCTGACCCCTTCAGTCCCATCTATTCCCTCTCAGCATCCTCCCATTCCCACCACCCCACCCCAACTTTCACACTTGGTTTTGCAATGGTTTTGGTATTTCAGCAGGAGCTGCCTTCCCCTTCTCCTCCTGAAAGTTTCTGTGGTAAACTTTGACACCCAGTTACCAAACTGTGGCTTTTGAAAGACACACAAATTCCCTGAAGAAACCAAAATACTGGATTGGAACAGGGGGAGGGAATTCCCTGCTGTGGCCTGCTCCTGTTAAAAATACCGAGCTGGGAGTCTGAAGGCTGCACCTGCACAGATGTGAGGGATTAATAATCTCTTCCAAAGGAGTCTTGTGAACAAGGAAAACATAACTGCCTTTTGCACTACTTCCCTTTTTGAAAGGCCATTTCCTGCAAAGCATCCTTTACTCAAGTTTTCCACTAGCTCTGTAAACACCAAAAAGCCTCTTCCAGCTTCAACAGCTCCTCAGATGATTTATGAAAGGTGCAAAAACATTACATTGGGAAGGAAAGAGAAAAACTGAGCTCCACAAATGTATTTGCAAATCTGACCTGAACAAAGCAACATATTTTCGCTAAAAATCAACAGAAAATAGGGTGGGAAATTGAGCTAAATCTTCCATAAAATGGGAAAGTGCTGCTGGGGCTGCAGACAAATCCTGTGCTAAGAAGCAAGGAGTCACTATCAGTAGAAAAGACCTTCCCTGGAATGCAGAGACTCCTTATTCAAAAGGGTAACAGGAACATAACACCAAGAGGAGCACTGTCATGACAATAAACAAACCCATTTGAAAATGGTTGTTTTCAAATTTCTGTGGAAAAGCCCAAACCAAGGACTGTCTGTTTTCAGCTCCCAACATAAGCAAGAAATCTAAGCTCCCTCGTCCTTAGAAATATCAGCAGTACAAGACATTCCATTTCTCAGCAAAAGAAACTTTTCTATTGCAGATTTGATGAGCCAGTTGGCCTCGGATCTGGCAAAAAATTTGGTTTCTGGATCCACCTCCCCAAAACTGGACACACCTCAGGATCAGGAATCTGTTCCATCCCTCTAAGAGCCATCTGCAATTTCTTGGGGTTCTGGCCAAGCAATTAATTCCTCCTAATTACTGGAATGGGACCACCCCTGGCTGGAATTTCAGCCAGCTCTCCCTCCCTGCCCTGCCCTTGGGGGGGATGCTGATCCCTGACTCCAGCCTCAGGAAAAGCAGACCTTGGAAATGGGATCCTGGCTGCACTTCTGGATGTAAACATGCAGGAGGATGTCCTGCAGGGCAAGCAGGTCACAGGGAGCCAGCACAGTGACACCTGTGACCTGGGCGGGAGCAGCACTGGGACGCCTCCAGTTCTATGCTGGCTCATCACAGCCAGCTTGGGGAGAAGCCAGACACGTCCTGTGACAACCAGCAGGATGAGGATCCTCCCTGCTCTCCCTTGCAGGTCTGCTCAGTGTCTTGGTTCTTAAACAAAGGGGAAGGAAGCATGACAAAGCATCCTCCCAATCCCCACAGCCCCACACCTGGAGAAGTGTCCCACTCCCCACAAATCTAAACTTTGAGGGGTGACCCTGTTCCCCACAACCCACACTTGGAGGGGTGACCCAGTATTCCTTGGAAGACTGTCCCAGTCCCCATAATCCTGCACTCGGAAGGATGTCCCAATCTCCACAATCCTGCATTTTGAGGTGTGTCCCAAAGCCCACAGTCCTGCACCTGGAGGGATGTCCCTGTCCCCTACAACCCTGCACTTGGAAGTTTGCTCAACAGCCTGACAGGGGAAAGGATGAATAACAACCTGACTGACACAACCCAGCTGCAAAAAGGGGAGCTGAAGTCCCAAAAGCAGGAGAAAGTTCTGCCCTCATCAGATACAGCCACACATCTTCCTACACAGGATTTAAGATGGACTGACACATGTTGCAAAAGAAGTTTAATTAAGGGAAAAATAAAATATTCTCCATAAACAGTAATACAAAAAGAAAAATCAAAACAGCCCCTAAATTTCTGATGCTGACTTTACCAAGCCAGGCTTTGTTTCCTTCTTCTGAGCATTAAAAATCCAGTTTATGTTTCAATGACTGAATCACCAATTGTTACAAACTATCTACACCACTTTCATCCCCTCCCTGAAGTTTCTAGGAAATTCACTGCACCAGCACATGGCAGGAGAATCCAAGTTTGACAACGCTTGCCAGAACAATATTCCTGCATTTTGAGCACAGGGAACAGCACACACAAACAGGGCAGCTGACCTGGCAAAAGGCAGCTGGTGTGGAAATGCCAAATTCCCCTCTACCTTACCAAAAACCCCAAATGCTGCGCAGGGGTTCCCAAAGCAAAGCAGGACGTGGGGCCCACAGGGCCCGTGGAGATGGGAATGGACACCAGGATGTGGGAATGGACACGAGGAGGTGGCAGTGGACACGAGGACATGGGAATGGACACAGAGGAACAGCGAGCAGACCAGTCCAGGGAAGGACTGCGTCTAGAGGTGATTTCAAAGTGTCTGATTTTAGCTGCATTTCTGAGCCTTGCACAAACCTCCCTCACTCCAATGACAAGAGGCAGCACCAGAGGTGGCAAGCTGAACTTGGGAATATTTGCAAAGTCACGCTGAGAATGCTTCTATTAAACGCTGTGCTTAAAACTGTGTCGCTTTGCTGCACATCGATACTTACACGGAGGAATTATTTAAGTACACAGCTCTGTAAGCACCTAAGAAAGTGTCCAGATAAGGAATAGCTCTGCTCCTTCTCCTCTTCCCACTTGTCTGAGACACTGCAGGAACGGTGCTGCCCTCACCCTGCCACTGTAAATCATAGCAATAAAAACCCCAATTAAAACCAGAAAGGTACTTTGCTCAAGACAATCAGGCAGGACAATCTGTCTTTTAAGGGCCGGACTTGAACACTTTATTTTTAAAAAGTACAGCCTAAATAAAATAAGTAGGTTATTAAGCATCCAGCAGTCCCTTCACATAAATGTCCATGGAGTAATTCACTGTTTTTATGAAAAAGGAAATGTTTTTAAAGCAGACTGGGAAAGGAAACAAATCCTCAGAACCAGAAGCCACTACAGAAACCACTCCTCTTTCTATTTATTTTAATTCTTCACCCACTTTTAAGGCTATAAAGACAGCAGGATCAGCATGTTCAGCTCTCAAAATTCTTCACGCTTCACTTTGCAGTGTCTGTGGAAATAAATGGACTTTTCCTCCCTTCCAGCTGAAGTTTGTGGGGCCTCTTCCATGACCATCAACAACACAAAGACAAAAGGGTGCAAGAACTCCACATCACCATTCTGCCCTCAAACATTGCTCCAGCACCCCCAGATCCAGCAATCCCAGGCAAAGAGACTCCAGCACCCCCAGATCCAGCAATCCCAGGCAAAGAGACTCCAGCACCCCCAGATCCAACAATCCCAGGCAAAGAGACTCCAGCACCCCCAAATCCAGCAATCCCAGGCAAAGAGACTCCAGCACCCCCAAATCCAGCAATCCCAGGCAAAGAGACTCCAGCACCCCCAGATCCAACAATCCCAGGCAAAGAGACTCCAGCACCCCCAAATCCAGCAATCCCAGGCAAAGAGACTCTAGCACCCCCAGATCCAGCAATCCCAGGCAAAGAGACTCCACGATGCCAGAGTACTTCTTTCCAACACTGAGTAGCACTAACTGAACAGGGAACAGTCTGGTGTGCAAATGTTACACTGAAATACACCCCACAAGCTGCACTGGGCTCTGTCCCAACTATCCTAATTCAGGACAGTACTGGGAAGCAAGCAAGCCTGAGCATTTCCAGCTGTCTGCACACATCCTGTCATTGCACTGGCTACTCACCACCAGCAAGTCTCCTCCTGTTACTTCCAAAAGCAAGACCCACTTCAGTTCAGTCTCCTGCAGACCCTCAGCTGCCTCTCATTTTTAAATAAAAATAAAACTCATCAATACGTCAGTCCCAAACACAAAGTTTGTTGACACAGCTGACAGAGTCACTGCAGTACTTACTCCACTTCAGGGGTGCAGAAAATATCATTAATGCTTTGCATGACCCAGACCTGAAAGAAGCCCGTTATTCCCTGTGCTGCTGTTTCCCTCAGTGTTGTTATTTCCCTCTTGATAAGGCCCCACCCTGCCAGTCAAACCACAAAGCACATCTCCAAAACCTCATGGAACACCCTTTAACACTGGAAACTGGGAATATGAAGACAAGGTGAAGGAAGAAAAAACAGAGCTTTGACAGCCATGGATGGAAGCGGCCCAGAAAGCTCACTTTGAACAGATGCACCCCAACCTTGGGTTTCTCTGGGAAGGAAATCTGAACCTGAAAGCGGGGATTCAGTGATAGGGATCAGAGGTTACAGCTCTGAGGTGTTCACTCCTCCCCTGGCTGCCAGGGTGGGGAGCCTCTGCCTGCCACAAGCCACCCTGCCACCACAACCACTCCCTGACAGAGGAACACACTGGCAACAGCCATGCTGGGAAATTCAACCAGCTCTTCTCCAGTGAACACAGAATGCTGGAATGGCTCCATACTGAGCTGGAAGGAACCTTCAAGCTCATCTCTGATGAGTTTTGCACACGCAGTGAACCCAGAGTTTGGAATCTGCACCTTGCAAAGGCTGGGAGCTCGTGTCCCCACATCTGTCAGGAACACATGTCCAAGCCCCCTCTGCAAGGGGTCAGGGTGTCTCTGCACAAATACAAAGCTCCCACCCCATAACACTCGTGCTGAAAAGTGCAGCAAGACAGAGGCAGGCAAAGCTTTATCCACATCACAATTTCTGGGAAGCTTAGAGCACAAGGGCCAAGTGCTCCCTGGGTTATTATCCCATGCCTGGGTTATTATCCAATCTTCAAATAAACACAAGTCATTAATTTATTAGCATGACATCACATCCTGCAGGCTGAATTTCAACACACTGCCATAACAGTGGAACCACGTGAAGAAATACAGCATTCCCAAGGATTTCTAGTCTGCTTTCCAACCTTTTACCTTGGAAAGACCAAAATGGACGTTCTGGATGTGGGAACAAGACCTCCAGGGAGTTAACAAGCAAAAGACAAAACAATCTATTAAGTCAACCAACATTCTGTAGAGTGGACAATTATTTTAAATATCTCCTCATATCCAACTACAAATGGGCAGCATTAAAGCACAATTACAGTGTGAGGGGGATCATAAAGTTAAGAGGTTAAAGGAGATTGTTTGCATTAAGTACAATATTAGCAAAGGAGAAATCTAACAGGAAGAATCATAAAAGGATTTTAGACTGGCAGCCACTCAATAAAGTGGCCAAGGAAAGTTCCCTGTAGACAGTTATAAATGATGCTGCTCAATTCACTTGTGCCCTGATGGACCATGAGTTAAGGAGCAGCAGTTAGAAGTTAAGACAGTTAAGGAATAGTTCATTAAGAACATCATCTCAGCTGGCCGGGCACAGAGAAGAAGACAGCTAATGGCCTTTAGTGCATCAATCTGTGCACCTGTATCCAATATCAGCTGGGTCTCAGGTTCCTCTCCTCCCCTGGCACTGAATCAAGCTCACAGGGTATCTCCCCACATCAGGTGGGAACCCCTCTACCCAAAGCAGCCCATCTCCTTCCTTGGACATTTTCAAACCCCAGCAGGACCCTGAAAAACCTGACACTTCTTTGGGGTTAGTCCTGCTCACAGGAGGAAATAATGTAGATTTACCTGTGATTGTCATCTCCACAAGTATCCTCCCAGTCACTTACACTTGCTGAACCCATGGCTGAACTCTAGCATACCCTCTCAAAAACATAATTCTTGGATACAAGACACGTGGCTGGATGGGTCTGTGTCTTCTCAGCACTGCCACTCATTTTCTTGCAAGCAAAGGAATGCTGAACAAACCATCAGAACTCAAATAATCCCCTTCTAATATATGTGCTTATGGCCCTGTTTTTGTTTTTGAAATGGCCTTTGATAACCCATCTATTTATCTTTTGAAAGGGAGAAAAAATGAATTAGGAAATTGCACAGGCAGAAAAACAAAGTCGATATCTGACAAAGAGTTTTGTTAATTTGTGGGTAATTGTTCATTACTGCAAAATAAGGTTTTTGCAGTGCTTCATGGAGAATAGATAAGAACCCCCAGCCCATTACTGAGTATTGTTTTTGGCAAAGGCAAGCTTCTCCCAGGGTTGAAAGCCTCCATAAAACCATGATTCCATTAAATATGGATCCTGACATCCCAAAAGTACCCAGGGGAAAGGGAACAACATGTTCTGTCGAGTCATTTAGCAGGGATCTTCACATTCTTGCACTCACCCTTTTCTGTCCACTCTTGCTTTGTTCAGAGCTCTGCTTTGGACATTACCTCCCCACCACTGCCTCTTCTGAGCACCCCAAACCTCAGCACTTTGGAACATGGGTGTTCCTCTCCCTTCCCTCCAAGTCTGGTTTACTTTCTTATTCCACTGAAAATGTATTCCCCAGACATTTGACATCCACAGGCGATTGGCACCCCCTGCAAGGGGCAAAGCTCACCCTGAGCTCCCCAATCACCCCAAAGTGCTGGATTTTCCCTCCCAGTTAAAGCAAGTGGGTTTTCAGCCCTGATGCACCACAGAATCCCAGAATGGTTTGGGTTGGAAGGGACCTTAAAACTCAACCCATTCCACACTGTGCCATGGGCAGGGACATCTTCCACTATCCCAGGTTGCTCCAAGCTCTGACCAACCTGGCCTTGGACACTTCCAGGGAGGGGGCGTGCTGTCTCAGAGAAGGCTCCAGGAGCAGCTCACCACTCTCATGGCCAAGCAGGTACTCCGGCAGCAATCGCTCTCAAGCCACTTTCAAGGTCTTTTTCACCATTCTAACAACAGAGACATTTTTAAGCCTTTCAAATAGCTTTGAATTAACTTTCCTGACAAAGTTTTCCAGAGCAATATAACCTGACTAGTAAAACTCCATGCAGGGACAGACCTGAGAGCGGAGGAGACGCTCGATTTAGATGGAGCTGTTTCATTACTATGTAGATTCAAAGCCATTCCTGCAGTTACTGAAGCACTACCCCAGCCCTCCTAGCAAGCAAAAATCCATTTTGTGTACAAATAGGGCTTTTACAGCTTTGGCACAGTGCTTGACTGCAGAGTCAAACTTTTCAATGCCTGATAAAATTTTACTTGAAAGTGGCAGGAGAGCTCATGCCAGGAGCCTGTATGAAATGCCAGCTCAGTGGCAGAAGGTCAAAGCCTGGTATCAGGAGATTTAATGGAAGTGTTTCCAGACAAACTTCTTAAAAGCACTGGGCTATCTAGGGAGACACAGATTTACACCGCTTGGAAAGCCAAGGACCAATCTTTATGACTCTTCTCCAATCAAGGGTAATTTCTTTAACACTTTAACACTCACAAAAAGCACAGCTGTAAGGTGTCCTTTCCTGTGTCTATCCAATCATTGCCTGGTATTTGGCTGAAGTTAAGAATAAAGAAGTGTTTAATGCCATAGTTTTTGTTTTACAAAAAAAAAACCCAAAAGCAACAACAACAAAATCCCCTACAGAAAACATCAACCAAACAAAAAATACCCCAAACAACCCCCAGCCCCTCTCAGAACAACAAACTCTCAGGTGCAGAAGTTGCTAATGTCCTGAATAAAAACCCCAAAGACAGACACAGACAACTGAGTTTGAAGACCAACAGCCCAAACAATTAACCTTTCTCCAGCAGTGCCTAAAACTATGGCTGGAGAAGCAGAAATTTAAATTGAACTGAAAGGCTCGATAATCTTTACCATTTTTACAGAAGTATTTAAGGTTAAGTTGGTGTCAACAATGACCCTGAGCAGATGTCAAGCATCAAGACTTTCAACATAGTGGATTTTGCCAGCTGTCACCACGTTGTAATGTACAAAGGGACAGTAAAACCCCACCAAACCCTGATCTGTCTGCTCAGGGTCTCCCCTTCCATCTACACAAATGCACTGTTGGATTCACTCACAAGAGCAGATTTGCAAGTGCTCCTCCAACTCTCCCATTAAAGCATCTCAATTGTCTGACTCTGCCATTTTAACAAATTCAAGTATAAGACTTTAAATTCAATTAGCACAAATCTCAGTGCTCCAAACATTAAATTTGCAAGTGACATTTAGTGGCATTCAACACACACGGAGCTAAGCTAATACACTAATGGACCAGCAAGGGAAATTGTAAAACACTCCCAATTGCTATGCTCTTTTTTAGTAAAGGAAATTAAAGAGGTAGGCTGCAGTGGACAGGAGGAAATGACAGCTATTAAAAATCCTTCTTAAGCCAAGGCAGCAAAAGCTCTCCTCTCCAGATCCACCTGTTCAAAAAGGGGCAATTTTAAGGCTCTTTCAGTCCTTAAGACAGGATTTACCCTGGTTTTACTTCTGTTCCTTCCTACTTTTTCTGATGAAGGCTTAGACAATGCAGCCCCACTGTGTGTTGCTCCCCAGACACCGAGAGCAGGGATAAAATCCCCAAGCCTTGTCCCACACAGCTAACACGGATGTCACAGTGCCCACAGCACCCCAAAAAGCCAGTCCAGCAAAGCCACCTGAGGAATTCTGCTACCACACCTGTGCCTCACCCAGCTTGCTAAGGAAGATGCCAGTTTTCCTGCACTAGAAAAACTCAAAGCTACTGGACTTCAGAGATTCCTTGAAGTCCTTTTTTTTTTCCCCAACTGGCAAAATGCTTTGCCTTAATTCCATTTAAACAGAAAAGGCTACCTTCAAGCAGTTTCAAAATCAGGGAGATAGAAGGCAGACCAGGCTGGGAAGTCAAGGAGAAAGAAAGGTCAGAGTCATGACTCTAAGCAGAGGGAGTTTTATTTTGTTGTGCATTTAAATCTAAGCAAATTAGCACAAGCCAAATCTACAGAAGATGCTTTCCCAATAAGGATTTATTAGTGGTTTTCTTTGATTATGTATGTGTAGTTGGACAGCAGAGCAGGACTGCAGCAGCACAGGAAGAAAACATCAACAGGACATCTGTCCCACTCTAGATTTGCTCCCCTGATTTGGATGAGTCAACTGTAAAGTCCAGCAACAGCAGTAACTGCATTTCTTTAAGAAACATGTGACAGTCTCCAAAATTAAGTTTTCTTTTCTCTTTCCAGCTCTTGATCAAGGACTATCAGAACAAAGCTCATGGGTTACTTTCAAAAATTTGGGGTTTTTTTTCTCCCCTCAACTACAACACCACATTTGATAAGATCAGAAACAATGCAGACAAATATTTTAGAGATGTTTAAATCAGAGGATCCCAGAATGGTTTGGGCTGGAAGGCACCTCAAAGACCATCTCTTTC